GGTTCATTGCATTTCAGACAGTGGGCGAAGGCGTTTTGAAATGCCTGCCAGTTGGCCTTGTCTGTTTTCCATCTTGGATTTGGTTGTGGCATTTGGGCTGGGCCAGTATCCATGAGGGTAGTTATAATGCCATAATGGTCACTTGTGATAGTCTTATCGACACACCATTTGATTCTCTCCACCAGAGCCGCAGTGGCCAGGGAATGTCTCAAGCATGTCGGCTATGGGATAGCCAGCCACATTTGGTGCCCAGCAGGGAGCCAGGCTGGGGTGGTGTGCACTGAAGTCTCCCCTCTATGATCACTCGGTCTTGTGCTGCAGTAGCACAGACCTGGTTGATGTCTAAGCTCCTACGGAATGCCCTGCTGTACACATTGTAGCTTGAGGGGGCCCTGGCCAGGTGAATCTCAACAAGAGATTCAACATCGTCTCCACAGTGCGGTGCATCGGCAATTTTGCCAGCTATGCGTGGCAGCATGAAGACATGATACCCTGAGAAACGAGCAGTCTCCACTGTTAATGTCGCCTGGAGCATGACATTGTTAAAGTTCCTTGATCGCACTATTGTGTGGAGGATGACATTCCTTGAATAAAAGCTATTGATGTTCTACTGTAGTATGTTTAGATTGTATGTCATGAAAGTTACATCTGAGACTTTATTATATTTGGATTGAGAGGTGTCGGAGTCTGACAACTCCATTCTGATGTCCTCGCTGATTGAGGGATTTTAACCTGTTTTTGGGCTGTTTGTCAGGCTACCTCTGGGTCCACTGGGGAGTGGAGAGCATTTGGTAGCTCTGACTTTTCTTTGGCTTTTCTTATTTCAGTCTTTGTCTGTTTTCCTCTTTCTTTGCTGGCTTTACCTGGGTAAAGTCAGCTTGTTCTGGCAGTGTTCTGCCCCACCCTCGTCCTAGGGTGAGGGTGGGGCTGGTTTGGTTCTGCCCAGCTTCCTTCCTTTCAGGACTGCAACAGTCTGGGTTATTGCTGTTATAGAGACCATAACTGCCTTCTCTGCCTCCTCACCCAACCTCCCCAAAGCTGTTGCTACTGCAATGACTACAGCAGTCAACAGGAGTCATATGTTCCTCATCAAAGAGGAGATTATCGTCTCTTGGGGAGGGTTTTGTAGTGCTCTTTGAACCTTTATTCCTCTGGTTCTTTTTCTGCACTTTTGATATAGCCAGAAACTCCTTTTTATTGGAGATGTCCGGTGTCGGCTCGGGAGTAGCTTCCTTCCTCTTAGGAGGTAAGGAAGTGTTTTCTATGTCTATGTCCCCCAAGCACCTATGTCTGTCCCCAGACATAGGTGCTTGGGGGAGCAGGAACAAAGTCAGGTCACTTTTTAGCAACCTCTTGTCGCCTGGGGGCCGCCTCTTTCCTAACAGAACAAGTCAGGCTCCAGGCATGATGCCCCTTGGCACAGTTGGGAGATTTGGCTTTTGTGTTCCTTTGGTCTTCCTTGTACGCCTTAGGGCACACCTTGGTGTTGTGTGCTTTGCTGAAAACGCCACAATTGGGCTTGGCTGTGCAGCTAGCCTGGTGGTGACTGTATTTTCGGCACTTAAAGCACCGAAGTGGCTCAGGCACATAGGTTCTTTAGTTAAAGGTGCCCCAATTACCCTGATCAAGGATGGTGATTGGGGCTTCTTTCTGGTTGCCTGGTTGGAGTCTTCCATTTCGACATTCGGGAAGCCTCCATGACCTGTGGGTGTAATGTGATCAGTTCCACATCATATGAAACTGAGAAGTCAAGTAACACCATCTTGACTCACCTATCGTCGGGAGTCTTGGTCTTTGGGCACAATAATCATGCCCTGGTCTCTGGCAACCCAGATTGACAACCGGATTTTTCTCTGCATCTCTAATACCCTGACCAGTTGGTAGGCATCGTCAAAACTTTCAGGTTTAGAGGGAACCTTGAATTGTGGGAAACGCCTATGGGGTCCAGACTCTCCCTCAGAGTCTGTCTCCGTCCTTGGTCGTTTCGGTTAGGCCTTTCGGCTTTGGGCTTTGGTTATGGGAGCAGCAACTGTTTCGGCTAGTTCAGCTTGTGCTCCCATGTGTGCATATATATGTATATATTTATATATGTATATATTTATATATGTATATATGTATATATTTATATATGTATATATTTACATACATATAAATATATATGCACACACACACCCCCATATATATATATATATATATATATATATATATATATATGTGTGTGTGTGTGTTAAATATGTTAGTTATCTCTTTGATGCTCTAACACTTTCAGTGTTTACCCTCAGTCCTTTGTTATTATTTTTTAATTAAATAACATCTATATTTTGTTAACTAGAGTGTAAGTTATCTAAATGTGATCTAGAGCTATATTACATACTTCCTATATTTCTAAAACTAAAAGAGGTGTACATATTTTCCATAATATATATTATTTTGCGTGTAACCATTGAAAATAAAGACCACTACGTGGCACTGCCTGGTCACCTGTTTCATTCGGCACCCCAACCCTCGCTCCTGCTTCTTCATGCCTTGTTGACAAATGTGGGTCTTGTGTGACATTACATTTCTGGTGGCCAAACCCGGGAAAAGAATCTATAAAAGAATCCCGGTTGTATTTTTTTGTGTCAAAAATGGGAGACATGGAGAAACGTCACAGGAGGAGGACAGTCGCTGGAGGGTGGGCAATTCGCATCTCTAACATAATGAAAGGCCTTGACAATCCAGACGTCAGTGTCATCGAACATCGTCTTGCAAGTTTGGAGTAGGTACAAACAATGTTAGCATTAGAGATTGATCTTTTGAACTTGGAGGAAGAGCTCGATAGTGCCTCCGAGTTTAATCAAGAAGTACGAAAGCCCAGGCTGCAAGCTGCTTAGAACTTTGGGGATATGATGAAAGGTGAGAAGTGTGACTCTATTCCATCCTGTAGCAGTAAAATATCTAGTAGCTCCAAGACAACAAATGTAAATTACCCAAATTAGAGTTACCAAAGTTCAAAGATGTGGCTGTCATTTTGGGACAAGTTTGTGACTCATGTGCATGACGCTGATATTCCAGTGTTAACTAAATTTAGCAGTCATTTTTAGAATGGACTTGCACCAAAGCAAATTACCAAATTGATTGTGACTTGCTGAAAGAGAGATTTGGTAGATCTGGGTGTATTATTTGCACATGTACAATTTGCACACGGTAATTCCTTGTGGAATTACCGTGATGAATTCCTAACATGGAGGCCTAAGGATTGTCAGGGAAGCAGCGTGTGTGCGTGAGAGAGAGAGATTTTTTTTTTTCGGAAGTCCTTACTCCCACCATCCTGCCATGCCTTCCTGAGGAGCTAAGGGTGGAGTGGGCTGGAGAGGACTCTGGCCGTGAAAGTGACATCATTTGGCTGCTATAGTTTCTTCAGAGAGACACTGAGAGAATTGAGAAATTGGAAACTCAAGGATCTCGTGATGGGGAAGACAGGATGTTTTGTGGACTCGGAGAAGAGTGCCATCTGCATCAGCTCTTTACACATAATCTAAAGTAGGATCATCTTATTGTGCTTTCTGAAGGAAGAAACACAAGTATGAGAAGTCCTGGGCTATTCAGAAGCTCTCATTAAAGGAACGCGAAGGAAAAATCAAAGCTGCTCGTATGTTTGAAGTGTCTAAGTAAAGGCCTTATTGGTTGTCAAAAGCTCCAAGTTTAATGGAAATGACAATTCTCTTCTGTATAGATCAGATGGTGAAATAACCAGATAAAGCTATGGAAAAGGACATAAATGTTCAGAAAGTTACTGATACTGCCGAACCTTTTGAAAATTGTAGTCCTCAAGTGAATCATGAGTCACTCTTAGCATGAGTAATGTGTTAACAAAAACAAGTTGTGTGTTACAAACCGCTAGAGATAAAGTGCATTGTGATTCAGGTGTTTGTTGTGAAGCCACCTTGTTGTTTGATAATGGCCCTGATAGAATTTAAGTGTCCAGTAATCTTGCGAAGTTAAGCCTAAATGGGTGAGGTCGGAATCTGTGTCAAACTGCTTTAGGAGGTAGTAAGTGTCTTTCAGGTAAACAGGGTAATATTTTTTACTTGAAATTAGTAAGTTTACAAGGTGTAAAACATTTTATGGCATTAGAGATTCCAAAGGTTTGTACGCCGTTAACTGAACCCTGTACTCCCAGTAAATTGGTTGATGAATTTTCTCTTTCAACTTACGGATAGTTACAATAATAATAGGCACCTAAGTATAGACATACTTGTGGGGTTTGGATGCTTACTGGAGATCTTTGGATCCTGAAATAAAGCCATATCAGAGTAATGGATTTGTAGCCCAAAGGTCTGTATTTGGTCGAGTTTTGTCTGGCTTATGTATGGTTTCTTCTAACAAGCAATTTGAGTCTACCCAAATGTTGTGTATAGGAAATGTAACAGATTCTGATTTTTGGAGTATAGAATGGGAACCGTTTCTAGCCGACTTGCCTCAGACACTGTTCTACAGCAATTTTGTGGAAATGTTAAGTTTGATTGGGGGCGTTATGAAGTTGGCTTACCCTGGAAGTTAGATGACTATAAGAAGAATCTTAGAAATAATGAGGGACTTGCAAGAAAGTTCTCAGCCTACTTTTCATGTGCCTTATCATCCAGTTGTCAAAGAAAGTAGTTCTTCAACTAAGATTAGGCCAGTTTTGGATGCTTCTGCAGCTAGTTACCATGGCATTTCTTTAAATGATTTTCTTGATTCTGGTCCTTCACTTACTCCTGACCTTGTGAAAGATTTGATTCGTTTCAGGAGGTGGAAGGTTGCGTTGACTGCTATTACCAAAAGCATTCGCACAGATTTTATTCGGCAAGAAGACTGAGATGTTCATCACGTTCTATGGAAATGCATAGAAGGACACCGCTTATAAAACTATAAATAACGAGACAATTTTCAGTGACTTTTATTATGCTCTCAAACAGAATAAAGCGGAAATGTTAAAAATGTTCATCAAAAAATATTTAGGGATATTCAATACAATATATTTTCACAATTTATTGATTAGTCATATATTTGAAAATTGTTAAGAAAGACATTCTAAATATACTAGAAATTACATTAATCAGAAACAGCAATTTTGCTTGGGTTAAGCCTCGTGGAAGGTAATAATCTCAACGAGAATATCAATCACAGCCCTTATGATAAGTGGAGAAAAACCATGAGTGATTAAGCTGAGATTAGTGTCCCGGGATTCTATCTCTCTTAATATATCTTGTAACAATTCCCTGAAAAGAAAGAAAAAAATGTGAGATTAATCGAAATTTCTCAAGCATTTGACTGCATCACTTACGCCTTAAATAAGATATTCCACCAGTTGTTCCATGAATCAGTCTTTAGAGTGTAGTTTTGAGCCTACATGATGCAGTCAGATGCTTGTGAAATTACAATTAAAATTCATACTTTGGGAAGTACTTGCTTAATCTTAAAATTTCACATCACTCATTTGACTGTATCCCTCACCGATGAGAGCTTTTGTGGTTAATAAAAACTACCACACACCTCTATATTACGGAGGAAGATATAAAACATTTACAGAAAAAAATAAGCCTTTTAATGTTTAACTTTTACATGAAACATAAAAATCACAGTGCAACAAAAAAATATCATTTTTAGCTAATACAGTATCAGAGTACTGTAACTTCTTTACAGGCTTTTGGTTGTTATAAAAGTAAATTTCTTTGACCATCCTATTGTCTTAACGATGGTTGACAATAGTTAATGGTTAGAAGAAATAAATGTGCTAGACATCAAAGGTCATATAGCACTATAGTAAAATATTGTGGCGAAGGTGTGTTACATGTCAAAAAATGTAGAATGTGGTGTAATAAATAGTAGTGAAAAGGCTATAGAGGGTGAGTAAATGGAATATGGGGATTTGTAAAAGTGGAAGCCATTATGAAGCAATCAAAGGGAAATACAGGTATAAATGGTTGTTGCAGATGTATTTGTATTATATCAGTAGATGAACTATGTTATGAACAATGATATATGTATTGCAACACTTATTTTATACAGAAGCCAGTTGTACTGTGCTACAGTACGAGATAGATGATTGTTTACGTGTGTTTATCTAACCACATGTGATATCCCATACCCACAAGGCGCTGTGAGCTTCTGCGAAAAGACAGTGAAGAAATTAACCGGTAATGTGATCCAGCAATGCAGTTTTCATTTGTTAAGTGACTATTATGAAGTGCCAGAGAGACTTTTGTGGGGTTAGTGCAGTGCAGTGAACTCTTGTAGTGTTTTGTGACCAGGAAATACTGTTGCCATTTGGTTCTCAGCATTTTTTGTCATATTAGCCAAAGATATACTGCATGTCACCCCACATCATGTCTGAAGTTGCACCACACAGACGGAAAGAGGAAACTACATTCCCTTGTAACATTGTAACACACGTCGTTTATCATAGTGCCTAAGAAGACGAAAGTAGAAGCTACACAAGAGGGAGTCATGCTGTCTCCTTCATCACAGAATCACAGCCAATACATCCATGAATATATTGTCGCAAATGATAGAAATATGGCGGAAGAGAGGTAACAGGCGCATATACGTCAACAAGAGGACAAGGAACGACAACAAGGGGAAGACAGACATACACAAGAGGGAGACATACGTAGAAGAGAGGATGACCAGGAGAGAAGGAAGACTGAGGAACGACGATTCTTACTTCTGTTTGCTGCCCTCATCACGTCTCCAACTCCCCTGAAGACTGAAGGACCACAGCCTGCTGTCGCCATGGTCCTACCGACTTCGGCGACTTCAAATACCCCGGGACTAAAGGCTTCAGTTCACCCCCCCATTGCCCAAGATATTACATTGCGGTCATACAAATGATGGAGACAGCACTAAGATGATTATGCTGTTATGATTGACCTACATGGCCTGCATCTGCATAAGCAATTTGTGCTTATCTGCTGACATTAGACGAATGCTTGAGCACATTCTAGGCATGTCTCTAACTTCAGATCTGCCTCTGACAGATGTTCTCCAGTGAATCCATGACTTCATACGAGACCAAAAGAACGAGGCTTTAAGACATCTCGCCTTTTTCCAATCAGAAGAGATGTGTGGACCCCCTATAAGGACATACGTGAAGGAAAATGCCATCCATTTGCTGTGCAAATACCGCGAGTCATTCCCCTTGCCTGGCGGGATGACGTAAAGAAAGTTGGACTCCATGGTGGGTTAAGGTATCATAACTCCAGCAGGTGATGAACCATCCTAATGGTGTCACACCTTAGTGGCTGTAACTAAGCTTAAATGTGGTCAGGATAACTTTCGACCTCATCAAATTCAACAGCCAAATGCTCTATCCAGCCTATCCATCACCGACGCCTCATGCTGCTGTACATCTTAATGACCTAAAGACATGGTATTTTCTAATTTTCTACCTTGGATGTCATATCCAGATATTGGCAGATACCTTTAAAGTAAAACTAACATTTAACAACCTTCATCACTTATGTGTGCGGTGTGGTTCAGCGGTAGCGATCTCGTCTAGCAATCTTGCTGACCTGCGTTCGAATTCCTCGCCACCAGTGGATGGTAACCCCGGCCATTCCTTGCACACAGGGGATAATTTAGAAGCAAAATAAAACAAGACAGTATGTCACACCAAGAATATCCATTGTAACAAATGGAATCAAACTAAATTAAAATTAAAATTAATTATGTCTGGATACAAGATCCTGTCTTCAGGCGATGGGATAAAGCAGCTTTAATCATGGGACTTGGCCAGAGCTGTGACTACCTTCTCCAAACACCTTCAGAACCAATGTTTTGGAGAAATCATCGGTTCCTACCAGTAGTACCAATTACATCCTGTGCACCTATGGTTGACAAGTGTTCCAGTGAAGATGTTTCCAGTCACCCAGACCGATGTTCTCCCTCGGATTTACGTGAGTTTATCTATCCATAACTAATAGGCACAATAGCCACAATAGAAGTAGGAGAAGAATCCAAAGAATGAGATAAGGGAACAGGGGCAGCTGGTGAAGTATTGGGAAGAATGTCAGGAGTGGATGGATCCAGAGGACATTGTTGTGACATAAGGGAGTCATGTGAGCATCCGGGTGAAAGTGGTAAGGATAATGAGGAAAGAGGGAATACTGATGCTTTTTGAGAAATTGGAAGGAAGTGGGGTAGGGGGAACTTGAGGTGGAAGGGGATGGATATCAGCAAATACTTTGAATGTCGATTGAATAGGAATAGAGGGATTGGAGGGCAGAGCAATTTGAATGGTCATGATCAGGATGGCACATAGAGAACAGTGGGCTGTAGAGTGAGTGTTTGGCTGGGTGGCCAAACCACCATTTCTGACAATGATGGGGAAAGGGTCTATAATGTCAGGCAGGACAAACACCTCACCTATATAAATATTATGGGGGAGGTTATGTCTTATGGCTCTGGGAGTAATAGTATAGTACTGGACCACCACTGTATCACAGTTGACGAGGCATGCAAACAAGTTTTCACAGTCTGACCAGTCCTTGTCGTAAAAAAGAACAATCAGTCAGGGTATATAAAGCACAGAATGGATAGAGTTGGCAGCAATCAAAGGAGAGACTGGTCAGGAAACCAATGAAATCAAATTTAGATAAACTAGTTAATGAAGGGACAAGTCTTGATGTTCCTAATGAGGGTAAATAAAAATCTTGATTATTTGGGTAGGCGATCAACCAAGAAAACATAGTGCCTATGGCTCCCGAAGACCATTCAAGGCTAACACAAAGCCATCCTTTCAGCCCAGTTCTCATACCTTAGGAAGTGGACAGAAGGGGATGAAGAAGAAAAGGGAAAAGGGGGAGAAGACCATGCAAAATTAGTTGAAACAATGGCAATCCCCTACACTGGGCCCCAGTCTCCATCTCCTAAGCCCCCCTATGACAACAATGAGCAAAATATGATGGTCAACAAAGACAATTTATCTTGCAGTATTGCTGGATGAGGCCATCCTGGTGCGATGTGGAGAAAATATAGATTGATTCCAGCATTCAAGTCGTCTCACTGAAAGTTACCCTCTCAAAATTGTAAGTAAAACAAACTATGAACATAAAATATGCTGTAATTTTCTGTTCTGAATAAATGAATTGCTGTTGGTAAAGTTTCGATAAACTGAAACAAAATAGATTTACTGTACTTCAGACTTAACCCATTGCCGCCGGGGAAAATGAACAAAAAATGGGGAAAATACTGTGCCTATTTTCTACACTTTTTTTGTTTAAGTTTTTTTGCCCATAGATGGCTCTGTTGGTGCCTGATTTGAAATAGTGGGAAAAACGTATTTTTCACTTGTGCCATGAATATCGTTGGTGTTATTTTCATTTTAAACATTATAATTTTTATAATGTTTTTTAACATTAGTAACAGCAAAATAAGATAACGTAAAATATTTCGTAAATCAAAGAAACGGGTAAACGGGCGAGACGGGCGGTGCTCGTAACTGGCTCATTGGTGATTTAGTACAAGTGTAGCCATCTATGTGTAAAAACAATCCAACAAGTAATCTCACAGTGGGCATGGCAT